AAAACAGAGAGCTAAATGAAGTAAATTTCTAGAATGTTTATACAGCCACCAAGCTTTCTGGTGGTCAATCAAACTTTCTACGGTGCACACATTCGTGCTACCACACCGACACCATTGTTTAAATCCAGGTACTAGCTGGTCAGTGCCTCGGTCCCCTCGGTCAGAGCGAACACCTCTATGTTCAGTGTTGCGGGTTTGCATTCCATTTCGTGCCACAGGGGCCAAGACGCAATATGAGCTGACAGCATAGGCCAAAGACACCCCGTACAACTAAAAATGTTAACTTGTTTATTTACATTAGGATATAATTTAGTTTTCTTTATCATGGGTTCGTTTCGCAGTTTACACGAAGTGTTAACGTTTTTACAAGGAATCCGAATATACCATCGCTCCATTTGTACCTAGAGTGGAATTTTTGCAAATCTCGAATAAGTGCGTTTTTTAGCCACAAAACGACGTTTTTGGCCGTTTTCTTCGCCGTTAATATAGAATCCGGTACTTTTTATGGATGATTCTGATGCGTTTTTTCACAAGGAATCCGAATACACCATCGTCACATTTGTACCTAGAGTGGAATTTTTGCAAATCCAAGTTAAGTGCGTCTTTCCGCGAAAAAACGTCGTTTTTCTGTCGTTATCTCCGCCAATATAACTCTGACACTTCTTTACATGTTTCTGATTCAGTTTTTTACGCTGAATCTGAATATATTTTTATATTTTTATCTTGCAATGATTTTCTTCATGTGTGCCGCACGGGCAGGGAACAACCCCGTGTCGACAAATGGTTAACATTTTTGAGTTCAGCACATCCGAATTAGTCAAGAACCGTTGAAAAATAATTTTTTCGCACTTTTCGGTTTTCTGTCCCATTGTGATGCGCCCTTACGTCGAACTGAGGTGGGGTAGCGTCTCAAAATCAAAGCGTCCTATCTCGGCCTAACATTAATCTGAAAGCCCTCCAACGCTGAACCCCCTGCGGTGCCGTGCGTGCGGCCGTGAGCGCGATCCAAAGAAGGTGTCACACTTGCGATCTTGACAGGTCGAGCTCGACACGGATACGTGACATGTCGGGCATGACAAGATAAACGTGACATTTACGTTAAATCAACTTTGCAACACATTGCATCTTACTGTGGACCGGTTTTGTTCCACGCCTGGGATGTCACGCAACCGTTTTGACCGCCGTCGACATCGTGTTTTAATGGATGTGTTCCGTAGAACTAGAGGGACCTCCCCTGAACTTTTAACGCCCTAATAGACCGTTCCGACAGTGCGCTTTTTGAGAAGAAATGAAGAAGTCGGGACCGTAACAAGTACCTAAAGTGCGCTTATTTTTGTCATTTGACAGTGCAGTTCGACGTAAATGACCTCGATTAAATCTCAAGTAACTGTCAATTTTAGTTTTCACTGATTTAAGCCATTATTTTAGAACTGTTTCCGGTGGTGATTTCATTAATTCTTCGTAAAATGGGCACTGCCGGAACCATCTATTCTAACGAGTCGAAGCGTAAGAGTAACAGGGTATTCCGCTGCAAGCCAACCGGAACGTAAAGAAGAAAAGCATGACTGCTCGAACTGCTTCCCTCTGCCCGCTCGATTGCTGACCAGCAGAGTTCTCAAACGGGCGGGCGGGCTCCGCCCGCCAGCCACCGAGCGCTCATCGCCAGAGCGCCCGGCCCACGATGTAGTTAATACGGTGTAGGCTCTCCAGCCGGTAGCGGGCTAAAAGACGGCCGCGGAAAGACGGCACATTCGTAGTTCCAGAAGAGCCGCCAGTGGCGCTGGCGTCGACCGATGCCGGGCGAGGGGAAGCGGGAGGGGGCGGGAGCGGTGCCCCGCTCGTCTCGTCCCTTCTCCCCTCGCCCGGCATCGGTCGACGCCAGCGCCACTGGCGGCTCTTCTGGAACTACGAATGTGCCGTCTTTCCGTGGCCCCCTCAGACAGCTCAGTGCCGACACCGTATTAACTACATCGTGGCCCGGCCCGACCCGTCTCTTCGTCAACGGGCCGGGTGGCCGCCCGGACCGAGCCTGGCGACGGGTGGACGGTCCGCCCGCTCCGTTCGGCACTTTTTGGCGTGGCGAGAGTAGCTGTCGGCCAGCGCCGACCCGGCCGGGCCGGACCCCCGCACAGGTGACTTCGGCACTATTCGGATGTCCGGCCGGTGACTGCAGCCGCCACGCCAAGCCACAGCACCGCAGCACCGCCCGTGTACTGTCGCTCTCTCTCGCACACCTCAGCCAGCG